CTGTGAGTGCAACCTCAGGCAGCTCTTGTCCAGATAACCACAGCTACAGTAAGGTAATGGCTTTCTCGGGTCCAGAAGATCCTGTCTGGCATCACTCCTCAAACTAACAAGATCATATTTCTTTTGCTTCAAGGTCACTGCTGAATTGTGAGAAACAATAACTTTTATTCTTTTCTCCCTGGATCCCAGATGAGCATGTACTGCCAATTGCCATGTGGCTTCCATAGAATGAGCTCATGGCACTGCCTTAGGCTGAGTGAATTCTCAGTAGACGGCTGTCTCTTGGAAACATAACCATCACACTTGAAACACCTTTCTAAGGGTGAAACCTTCAGCTTGGTTCATGGTGCTCATTTGATTCACACCTAGGAGCTCTAAGTGAAGTAACCTCAGATCCTAGAGAGACCGTGGCCCTCAGCTGCCCTCTTGTTCTCTACACTTCTAAAGGGCAAGTCTGGTGTTAGGTGTAAGAAACATCAATAGGTCTGAATAGAGCTTGGGGAGGGACAAGTGTATGCACAGATATTAATTCACTCCAAACTAAAATGGCCATAATGGAGATGTTCAAGGGACATGATGGGGAACAGAGGCTGGAGGACATGATGGGGAGTGGCTGGAGGAAGGGAAACAGGGTTACTGTGAGGTGGTGACACCTTGTCCCCAAATGCCAGAACCTTGAATTATATTTGCAAAACTGGCAGTAGCTTAGCAAATACTCTTCCCTGATTCATGCACAGAGACTCAAGAACAGCATTTCTCAGTTGTAGGTCCTTCAGTGAAATCTGTCATTTCCTTCATCGTAGATGTTTATTAAAATGTTAATTTCTGATCCTCACTTGAGATCCACGGTATTGGACAAGCAGGGTTGGGACTTAGGCTCCTTCTCTTCAGCCCCAGAGTTTGAATGGATCATGTGATTTCATTGTTCACCACATGAATAACAGGCAGTAGTCGGGGACAGGTGGTTGCATCTGGTCAGGGCAGTGATGACACTGCAGATGGACACCTGTTCAAAGGGCCGTGTTTCATTTTTGAGACCGAGCCTAGACTGACCTTGCTATATAGCTGAGAATGACCTTGAACCTCTGATCCTTCTGCCCCCACCTCCAGAATGCTGGAACTACACAGCCATGTACCACTATGCTAGGTTTATATGGTTCTGGGAACCAAACACAGGGATTTGCATGTGTTCACATTCTGCCAATGGAGCCACACCCACAGGCCTAAGGGCTCTAATGAGGAGCTGATGCCAGAGACATCCTTAGGGAACTTGTAAATACCCTTGACCTATGACATCTTCCCCTGTGAGCTAGCTTCAGCTCAGCCCAGGGAGCAGTTCCATGGTTGACCAGAAGTACAAACACAGCTTTGGCGTTGGGGCTGTGGTAGCTAAACTCTGTGGTGGAGGAATGGCTTTTCTGTTTGGTTGCAGGGAAAGGCTAACCTCATGTTTGAGTGGCAACACCTTTGGCCTCATGGGGCTTAGGAGCTTAGAACTGAGGGGACTGACTCAGTTCTCATCACACCCCCGCCCCACAGCTCTGACTTCACACCACAGTAGACAGTGTGGGCTTGGCAGCGTGCTAGGGAAGTGTCTCCTGAAGCATGTGTTTACTGAATCACAGCTCTCTATAGACTGGCGCTCTGTATTTACCAATCCAACATGGCTGCCAAGGTCAAACTATTCTGCTGTGACTCTCATTCCACTCAGCTGTAGCGAACGATCACTGTTTTTAATGCTCAGTGAATGTCACATCCCCCTCTCCTTAGAGGATTCCAATTATCTGTTTGTCAGACTTCCCTCTGAGAAAATGAAAGATCCCTCAAAGGCGGCCTTCTTATCCTGACCCCTCCCTCTCTTGGCAAAGGGACTGGAGTCATTCTATATCTTTGCAATACCTGGCTAGACATCTTCTATGAATTCCTGTAACTTAATTTATATTAACATTTCTTTCAAAATATATATTGAAATCTTTATAAAAATATCTTAAAATGTCTACCATTATCTTGTCTGTAATATTAAAATATGCTGTTTAAAAATAATGCTTGCTGGGTGATGGTAGCACACGTCTTTAATCCCAGCACTCGGGAGGCAGAGGCAGGCAGATCTCTGAGTTCAAGGCCAGCCTGGTCTACAGATCAAGTTCCAGGAGAGGCTCCAAAGCTACACAGAGAAACCCTGTCTCAAAAAGCCAAAAATAAATAAATATGCTTATCCTAAAATCAAATAGCCAATGTTGAAAAAGTATTTAATCTAGAAATATGGATAAATCTATATCATTAATTACATCACACTAACACTGCTGTATTATAGCATAGTATGAACAACTAGCAGAGATAAAAATCTTATATCCTCCTTTCTTCAGTTAGCATGAGTCAGGTAACTACTAATGGTATCATATTAACATCAGTTAAAAGTCACTGCATGGACATTCCCTTTTGTTGACATTAATACTGTTTCCTGTAAGTAATATCATGAATGTCTTTACTATAAAGGTTTTTCAGTCTCTATCTCTTTTTCATCAAGATAAAAAAGTAATAGTATTATACCCAGGGGACATTTTTAAGGTCCTTGATACATATTTCCAAGTTGCTTTCCAAAAGGGTTGAATCCTTTAAACTCCTACCAGCAATATGTGAAGAGTATTTACTGGCACGATTCAACCTATGAAAACCATAGTTACGAATCCAAAGGGGAAAAACAGCATTCTATATTAGGAGAATGGTGGAAGAATTTTCTGAGTTGAACCGCTCTGGAGACAGTTGAAGCACTGGGTTTAGAAAGCTCACCATATCCCTTGAGCATTGGTCATGATGGAGGGGGCTTCCCAAACCCAGGAGAAAACACTAGCAATATATAACTCAGATGGCCTCTGTGTTCAGTGACTTGGTCACAGTCAGTCACCCAGTGTCTCAAGGACACCAGAATTACATGGTTAAGTGCTATGTTGCAGGATTAGGGGATCCCAAGGAAAGATGTGGGGATTGCCCTACCCAGCAGCAGCAGATGCTTCCCCAGGAGGTGGCATAATGAGCTGATCTAGGAGGTTCACAGGCTATGGAGGAAGAATGAATGGGTGTTTCACAAGAAATTTTCTGCCATGTGCCAAACAACCTGGAGTCCCAGAAGGCACAGTGTCTCCCAGGAGGTGAAAGTGGTGTCACCGCATTGGAGATGACAGGATGAAAGGAATTATAAGATTGACAGTTGAGCCAGTGAAAGCTCAGCATGGGCGCTCAGCGTCCTTAGAGAGTTTACACTTGGCATGAGACATTAGGGAACAAAGGGAGGTTCCTTGTTCATCAGGGTGGCATGGTAACGAGGGACAGATGAAGACAAAGTACAAGCCAGGAGACCTGGAACAAGTTGTGAGTGTCACAGCTGCTTCCTGGTATAAAATAGTACCAGTGGAGCAGGGAAAACTGGGCATGGCAGACATACTAGCCAAGTGGCAGTGATGGGGCTTGTCTGAGTTAAGACTTAAAAGTTAGAGGAATTAGGTTTATCATGTTCACACAGAGACTATAGCCATCAAGGAAGGGAAAACCATGAACTTAAGCATTCTAAGTCTTAGACGTTACTGAAGGAGAAATCCAGGGAGGAGGTCACATATGTGAATCTCTAGCCCATGTGGTTAGGTCTGACTTGGAAACAGAATGAGGCAGGAGTATAGAGGAAGACACGGCAGTAGATGAAGCCACCAGGGCATGGGCAATGAAAAGACAGATGTGATCTCAGTACTTCCACTTGTTTCACATACCCATTTTTCTCTGCTTACTTGTTTGCCCATGATTTGCTAATTTGACTTCAGTTGGTACAATTAAAATTCCTTAAATGAAAGCAACATTGAGGAGAAAAGGGTCTATTTAGATTGCAGATCCAGGCTGTAGTCCATCACTGAGGGACGTCAAGATAGAAACTGTACACCAGGCCTGTTTCTTATTCTACACAGCATTACTTCTGATGAAGGCGTGTGCTCACATACAAGGGAATACAGCTGGAACCATGGGAGATGCTGCTAGTTTGTCCTCAACTAGATTTCTATTACAGTTCAGGACCACCCGCCTAGTTATTGTGCTACCCACAAGTAAGCTGGTCCCTCCACCATCAATTAACCATCAAGACATCACCCACAGACATGCCTACAGGCCAGACTGATCGAGACAGTCCCTGCTCTGTGACTCCCCTGTCACATGACTCTAGGCTATGTCAAGCTGATAGTTAAAACTTACTAGGACATCTAGTACTTGTCATCTCTTTCATCATGTACTTGTCATCTTTCTCTAATCATTCATGCATATAGTGATCATTTACTGAGCCAGAGAATGAAACTCTGAAGAGTCACAAGTCGGTGAGACAATTTCTCCTCTGAAAGAGGGATTTGTCTAGTCTAACGGCAAAGGCAGGCATGAGGACACCAGATGACAACACATGGTAACAGATAGTTAATGTCTGCAAGGAATCATTTGAATTCAGACTAATCGCTTTCTCTGGGACTGATTTTAAAGGAGCCAATTCCCGAATGAGTGGAGACTTAAAGGACTAGAGACATAGTGCCAAGAATTGGATGAGGAGGTAATGAAGTTGTGACAAGACAGTTATTATGACTGGAAATATGTGAGCCTTTGACTGAGCGGGGTGGCTGGAAATGAGGTAGGTCTTACCTATAGACACTCATGATGGAGGACACTGTGTACCGTAATAAGAAATTCAAGCAAGTTTTGGGAGTGCCACTGGGAAACAGTTCTCTCCTGGGAGGGTCATGGTAATTCCATAGGCTATAAGGATCAGCCACTCTGCAGAGCTACATGAAGGACATATCCGTTTCCTTTCTGTTGCTGTGGTAACATATCCTGGCAAGAGAAACTTAAGGGTTTATTCTGCTCAGTTGTAGATTACAGTCCATAATGATGTGGAAATCACAGCTATAGAATGATGGGAGATGTCATTCTGTAAATATGTCATTGTTTGATGAATAAAAACACTGAAGCCAATAGCATTGTAACTAACATAAGTCTTGTGTGTTTATTTGGGGGCTCCGAAGCAGTACAGGGCCCAGGAGGGAATCCCACAACATTATGGCGCTGGCAATGTTGGATACTAAATACTTGCACATAAAAACTTCACAAAAACTTAATAAGGGATTTTAGAAACAAAACAAAAACAAAAAACAAACAAGAGGCAAGCACAGCTTCTTGGTAGCAGCATCTTCTTGGGTGAGCTCTGCTTCCCAGGCATTGAGAGACAATCCTTTTAAGAGCAACTTCCTCATTTGCATAGCGGCCAAAACCAAGGCTGTTAGTGAGCACATAAGACTCATATGGTTAGAAAAAGATACAGATTTACAATAAAGAAAAATATACTTATGTTTGAGAGAAAAGAAAAAATAAGTAGCTGGGTATACTGACACACCTTTAATCGCAGCACTCCAGAAGCAAAGGCAGGCAGATTTTCACAGAGAAAGCCTGTATCAAAAAAGAGTAAGTAAAAGAAATAGAATAATAAAAAAAAACAGGTAAAGATGGAAAATACTCAGATAGTCTGGATACTATATACTATACATGCTTTAAATTGTTTGATTACCATGTAAAGAGCTACATTTGCTAAAATACATTTGATTATAGGTGCTGCTAAATTAATCCAACTTATATATTTTAAAAATGCTTAATTTCTAAATTTTAAATATAAGGGCAGGCTACTTGGGAAAAGAGTTTTTGCTTGTGTTTCCACTGAAAATGTAAAGCTATGGATTCCTTCTGGACGTAATATGGTTTGATGATGCAAGACCCCCAGAAACAGTGTACCAAGTGATCCAACATCTAAAACAGCTGAGATAATGCAGCCTTACAGACTACAGAAACAAGGACTTAGCCATGTTTCTGTGTTTTGTCATGATCCCCATGGAATGGACAGTGACCCCAACCAGCAGGAAGCAGTTTGGAATGAATGACACCCAAATTCCAAAATATTGCTTATAAATGTTTATTTTCATTTAAATGGGGATGGTTATAAATGGTTAATGATCACAACCAATCTCTTTTTAAAGGTAAAGGGGGATTATGGTATAGAAATGAATACTTTGTATTGGAATGGACTTTCATTTATTGATACAAATTTAAGATCAATTTAGTGATATATATTTATACAGCTCTTTTAAAAACGTATAAGTACTGATTATAGATAGTAACCTATAATAGTCAAAACTTACAGTTTAGTTAGGTTTTCTAGATATATAGAGATACACTTGAGATGGATAGTCTTCAAACCTTTCAAAGACCTTAAGATTATGGCATTAAAATGGTTTAGGGTTTTTCATGACAGTGAAACACAACTGCTCTGGGAATACCAATTATTTCTGAGAGGAAGATGGGCATTGAAGAAACTCATTATGGAGTTTGCTTTCAATATGGTGAGACTAGCAAGAAACCGCTCTCGCCTGGACTGTTTAACTGTACAAACTGGATATGCAGGACCCACAGGAAAGTGACTGCTGAATTTGCAAAGCAAGATAGACAGTACTAAAAGGTTCCTGTTTCATGGAAGAGTATGGTAGACATTCTGCAGGACACAGAAAAGTGACTAACAAACTGCCAATACAGATGGACATTTAAAATTTCCTGCTTCACTGAGAAGTCTGCCGGACACATTGTGGCCTATGGGCTGAAGATGGATGCTCCAACTTTACAGAGGAATTTTGGGCGACTGTCCAGGTGGAGAGATGTTTGTCAACTCTAGAGTTTTATATATTATCCTTCTGTGGTCTTTAATGGAGTTAAAGACAGATAGTTATGGTTATAGTTTTCCTTAGTTATGATAGAAAAGTTACATATAAGACTTTAAACTCAAAGGTAGGATAGATGACAGAATATTTTCTTTAAATCTTGCTAAGTGTTAATGGACTCAATATTATAACTATAGTTCTTACTTGATAACTGTTTCTTTATATATAATATGACGTTAAAGTTAAAAAACATTTTTATTTAGACAGAAAAGAGATGATGGGAGATGACATTTTGTAAATGTGTCTCTCTTATTGGTTGATGAATAAAACACTGTTTACCAATAGGGAAGAAAGATAGGCGGGACTAGGAGAGAAGGAGGATTCTGAGAAATGTAGTTAGAGAGTTGCCCTGTGATCCTTAGAGGAGAGGATGCATGAGACTGGCATTCTTGGTAAGATAAGAACTTGTAAAAACATATTAGTCGTTATGGGCTAATACTTAAGAAAGAAGTAGCCAATGAGAAGCCCTGGACATTGGCCAGCAGCATTGTAACTAATATAAGTCTTGTGTGTTTATTTGGGGGCTCTGAAGCAGCGACAGGACCCAGATGGGAATCACACAGCAGTAGAAGCTTGAGGGAAATGGTCATCCACAGTCAAGTAGGAGGCAATGTCTGTGCTTAGCATCCTTTCCCCTTTTCATTTGGTCCGGGACTAAGTTCATGAAATAGTCCCACTCACAAGTAAAATGGGTCTTCCCATATCTATTATTGTAACTGAGATAATTCCCATGGGTATGTCTAGAGTCTTGTTCCCAGTAGTTCTGGATTATATCAAACTGACAAGAAACACTAGCTATCAGAGCAGGGCATGTGGGTACCTCGGAGAGAGGAGTGAGGAGGTTGGTAAGATTCTGGGTGGAATGCTGAGGGCCTGGGTTTAGTCAATTGTAGCAGTGTTGGAGAGAAACAATGCCATCTCTGAGTTGTTAAGAGTTGAATTGGTGAGACATGGGGTCCATGGGGCCGTAAAGAGTGGGTGGAGGGCAGTGGTGTGATGTTCTGGCCAGTTCTCTTCATTTGACTTACTTCCAGCCCTGAGTGCAACCTGACATCTTGGTGTTTCAACTGTACGATCTATAGGAAAGAGGCCCAGGTCCACTGAGATCAGCAGTTTACTGTTGAAACTACAGCATGTCTTGCCTTGCTGCTCTCAGTGCTAAATAAGTGAGAGGGGTGTCTTGTCATTGGTGATCATTATTTGTAATAGGGTTCTCTCTGCTAGAACAGTTAGAACAGATGAGTCCTGGTCCATCCAGTGTTGAGTTGTGGACACAACTCTGAGCATGTTGTCATCTGAGAAGAGGGTGGGGAGTCAGAGTAACAGCTGGGGAAGAGGCAGGATCTGAGTCTGGTTGGGGAGAACAAGAGCTATAAATCTACAATTCTATGACTGTACAGTGATGGTGAAGCCAACTATCAAATCAGGCTACGGGCTGAGGTTCTGTGTATCTTCTCAAACCACCAAGCTAGTTTAAGATTGAAACAGAAAGCTACCACAGCTAGACAGTCTCTTTTGTGTACTGTGATTGTCATCAGAATGTTCTCTGGCGTCACCCCTTACTCCTTAGATATGTTGGGGCATCTTGAATACCTTTCCGCCCTCATGTGAGGTAAGGTACAGGGACTACCTGTATTCCCAGAATGCTAGGCCTGAGGCTAATGAGATTGTGTGGTCAGAATTGGTACTGGAGACCTGTTTTCATGCCAGGGTAGTTCTGGCTATGTTGACAGCCTTTATGGTTGGGGAACTCATGATCAAGAAGGTCCCAGACCCTCACTAAGCTCTCTGCTTTGGAAGCCATGACAGGCTGGCAAAAAGACCCAAGACATGGTCCTCTGACTCAGCAACATATGCTGAGCACTAGACCTTGCCCTAATCACTAGGAAGCCAGATACCCTCCATGTGGCAAGGAACCAATCAGAAGTTAGCTGGCAGGCTCTGGATGTGCTTTACTGATAATACTGGAATGCAGAGTGTAGCAACCACCCTGGGAGGGCCACTAGGTACAACAACCTTTCTGCAGCTGACCAATCGACTCAGGACAGCTTGCCCAAACCCGGAGGTACACCAGTCCTGAGACTGTTGCTATGCTCTACTGCAATATATTCCCTGCCCCACTGCTACTAGGGGTCAGTCTTGCTCCACCCACTGTGTCAGACAGAGGACCTGATTTAACACAATTAACTCGTTAATTAAAAAGACTCTTTGCTTTTGCATCGGATCTGGTCTCCTGGTGGTTTGGGGGGGTGGTTCAGAGTCTGGGCACAGCAGGCACAACATGAGCCAGGCCTGGTGACAAGTCTGGTAACTCAGCAAATCAGGAGGCTGAGACAGAAGAATCGTGAGTTCAAGATCAACTTGGGCAACCTAGTGAAATTCTGTCTCAAAGTGGGACAAAAGAAAAAGAAGCTGAAGATACAATTTGGTAGTAGAGAGTTTGCCTGGGTGTATAAAAGACTTGGTGTTCAGTTCCTAGTACTAAAAATGACATGAAAATGCCATTTTGTACCATTGTGATGAGTGGTGTATTACTCATCATGAAAAATCTGAAACTACACCTTGGGACAGGAGGTTTCCAAACTAAGGACTAATGGCTCCACTGTCACCTGGGACCACGTACCTCTTCATTTTCTGTCCTGTTTCACTTCTTGACTTGTAAGAGGAACTAAGACCCTGGGGAAGAGACCCTGCATGAATATCCTAAAGCCCCAACAATACAGGGAGCTGTGTGTCTGCACACAGTAGGTTAGGATGGAAGAGTAAGGTTTGGGAACCCAGTGAAGGCTAAGTGTCTCTGTGTCAAATTGTTTTATTGATAACAACGTTCCTAGCTTGGTGTTCTGTCTTGATATTAATGTCTGGTTTTTCTGTTTTGAGACCCATGATCCCCTTCTCTGGTGAGTAAGACTTAAGATTTCCCTTGGAGAGCCACTGTTCATGTCTCTTATTCTACTCCTGTAGTAAGATTTTTCTTTCTTTTGGGGGGTCTGCCACACAGCTTCCAAATGAATCACACATAGAGGCTTATTCTTAGTTATTAATGCCAGGCCTTAGTTTGGCTTGTTTCTAGCCAGTTTTTCTTAAATTATCCTATCTACCTTTTGCCTCTGGGCTTTTCCTGATCTCCTACCTCTGTAAATCTTACTCTTATGCCATGGATTGATTACTCTGTAGCTGGATGGCTGAGTGGCTAGCCCCTGACATGCTTGTTTTGATTTTTTTGTCCTCACTTATAACTGTTAGCATGAAACTCTTTCCTCATGTCCCAGTGTCACAGACTCTCACTAGGCAGGCATTCTCCCAGCACCAAATCAAACTTCCATATTGTTGATGGTGCATATAGAGGGAATTATATAAAAGTTCTACTTGTCTCTTTGTAAAGATAAGTCAGATGTTCTAACATAATCTACTGACCTACTCATCTACAAAAAGGTCAGCATCTTTGCTGGTCATCTACCCTGTCCATGTTAGAGGCGTTGGCTTGAGTTCTGACGCCTGGACCTTAATCAGAAGGTTCTAGAGAACCTTCCCTTAAGCCTGTTCATCTTGAATTCCCAGAGCTAACTCCAAGAGGAATGTTTCTGTTCATTTCTAGAGCCCAAGTTGCTGCACTGAGATAGCTTGGCCACAGGGTTTTTGGAATGGCCTTGGTGAGTGTCTGGATGCTTGTTGAGGCATGGA